AAGCAATAGGTGAAAATGTAGTTGGGGGGGGGGGTGCCAGACACTTGTGCTCTGCGTTTCTTCACTTCTTACTCTATCTAATCATTTCACCCATCCCGGAGCTCCTCCCCTTCCTGAAGCTAGGGAAGGAGTTCCGGGGTGGGTGAACCAGTTGGATGTTTAATTCTTACCCCATCCCAGCTTTCTGCACGAGATAATCAGCTCTCTCACCCCGGAGCTCCTCCCCCAACTTTTAGAAGGGGAGGAATCATTCTCTGCGATCTCTATGTACTCTGCCCCCGGTGTCAGAGACGCAGAGCACAAAAGGGCGCTGGCACCCCCCAACTACATTTTCACCCAAGCAATAGAATCATTAGTCATACTTTAAGTACGATAGGAAAAGAACTTGATAAGGATTAAAAAGCGCTTACCGGCACCGAAGTGATTTGGATCGACTGTAGGAATCAACTGTGCAGGTTGCGCCAAGCCATAGCGCAGTAATATAAATGAGGAGAACACAGAAAGCCACATTATTATACAAAGATCATTCGGGCAGTGTCGAAGCTATGAGATCTGAAAGTCACCGTGATATACCACAACATTATGAACAACACGTAAATCGAAAAGAAGCATGGCTACGAAGAGCAGATGGTGGAAGAAAACGTTGGATTCCCTGACTAATTGCAAGGGGTGGAGATGGTGTGGCTATGTTGCTGCGGTGAAGGAAAAAGATGATTTATTGCTGAACCAACAAGTATGGTGAAAAAATCAAAAAGCATGTTAATCAGATGTGAGGGGAATCAATGCGATTAGCAGATCGTACAGTGAACAGCTTTCAACACTTTCCACACTAACGGATTACAACAGATCACTTCTTGTCGACAAAGGTAATCAAGGTATTATATTAGAGCTTATATTGCACAAGCTCTACGATCCCATTTTACACGCGTTTTTCTGGCTTAAAGCAGTATCACGATGTTCAGGCTGAACGTCAAGGAAGTGGTAATTAACGAAATGGTAGATTCTCACAGGCTTGTGAGGTAGCACTGGCAAAACACTGACCGTTGATTTGTCAAAATCCAAGTAAGGTCTATGAAGAGAATGTGTCACTGTAGAATGAAACTATGACTTTCTAACGGGAAGTTTAGAGGCAAAAAATAAAACAATTTGAATGGCAGCCAATACACCAGTCTGCGTTCAATTAATAGTAATGGCCGAACCCCATGGGAGGTATTGACAAAACATAGAGATCACATTCAAGATCAACAACAGGCGGTGGCTGGTCAGTGAGTGATGAGTGAGGATCCGTAGATGAAAGTAAACTGTAAGACGAAACTGGCACTTAAGATAAGTTTGGAGAGCACGAAAATACCAATCGCATCATTATATTATATGCATCGTCGACACTTTAAATCGTTATGCAAAATAGCTAGAAAAGGCTTTGAAAGCGAGCATCAACATTACGACTTCAGATCGTTACGGATCTGGCTCTCACACCATTCCAGAAAAGATTCCAGGGGAGAGAGCCTCGAAGATGGATGATAGCAGAGGCAAAACGAACAGGAATGAGGACAAAAAAGACAAAAAAAAACTGCAGAAACATCACTACGCTTGGGAATAGCACATCTATTGCACAAAAAAACTGCAGGAACATCATTTGCTTGGAAAGAGCACATCTATAGCTGAAGAACAATAGACGAGAAGCATGAATTGTGAATTGTTCAGTACCAGTAAGAATTCATTGACGAATGATGATGCCGATGACGATGATAAGACAACCGATCAATATTGGCTTTGGCATGCTAAGGAACAGCGTAAAAGTCAATAGCACATATATATTATACATACACATGGAAGGTGCACGATCACCTTAGTCGAATACGAGGCACAGGCGGTGGACAAACATCGGAGAGTCGACTATGAGGCACAGGCGGTGGACAAACATCAGAATGACCCACTTTAGCTGTGGCAACGAACCACACACGATTGCGCCTACTACAGAAGATATAGGTCCTTCGCGAGTACATAAGGTATAAGCGCGATCCACCTAAGCACATAGCCTAAAACGACGTCTGTGCACCTCCGCTAGCGCTACGTCATGGCTACTCTCATCGAGCGGAATCGGCAAACGATCATTATCACGTCAAGGGTGTGTTATTATTGTGAAGCTAAATGAAGGCGTCGACCGTCAATGAAAAAACTTTCCTCACTGCAGCTGTAGGCGTTCTTGCGTCGTAGAATTTAGTGTGCTACGTGCCGCTTGAAAAACTCAGCACATCTGTGAATTGAAAGAGTGAAGCTATAGACGTATGGTTCGCTTCTTGCCTATAAACATAC